ACGAAATTGTCACTTTCCGCGTCCTTTTGGATGTAATATTTATTAATTGTTATGTTGAAACGCGTGTGAGACGTAAACGATTCCATACTCGCCTTTAACATGCCTGGTACCTAGTCCACTCTTCAACTGAAGGCTGCAACACTGATATTGACGGTACTATATAAATATAAACTAGCGGGGGGAAGTTTGCGCTACCAATAAAATCTAGGCACCACTGTCTGGGCAACACCCCTACTTCCCTGAGAGCTTCAGTCTTTTCTTCCATAATGACGCTTTAGGCCACTTTCACACAATGCGATAACGACACGACTTACTGCATGCAGTAAATAAACCGCAGCGATACAAAAGTATATCCAAAATAAATGTATTTAAAGTGAATGCTTTCATACTGATTCGATCCGATATTAAAATCGTTGTAGTAAAAAATTTCGCAAATACAAATCGTGCAATAAATCTTCAATATAACCAAATGTATGCATTCTTATATGTCGTGTGATATGCTAGTAGCACTAACCGCGGCTTGCAGCCATTTAATAGAATTAGTGTTTTTCGTCCCATTAGATACATGCAACTAAACCACACAACACTGCGAGGGTAAGTAGGCTCGCATTTCAATTTGGAACGTTATCGAAACAATATTTAGTCGCATAATGTGAAAGCGGCGTTCCGATACGATATACAAATCGCGTGCAGTTAATCGTGTCGTTATCGAACTGTGTGAAAGTAGTCTTATAGTCCGTTCCTATTTTCCTATGTTGATTTCAGCGTATACACGTGTACATGCGCTTTAATATGTGAACAGAAATGATATTCGCTTGTGTCCCTATATATCGGTTGTTCACCGCGCGTATAACGCGTCCATCTGAACATAACCTTAAAGCGATGGAGACAGTCATTTTAAAAAAGCACTTAAGTAATATTTTCACTTAGCTAATTGAAAGGATTCGGAGGAGGAAACTCTTTTGTTGGGTTTTACTTAAGTGAATCAACGAACAGCATTACCATATTAGTACGTACTTACCTAGAAGTCAAACTTAAGACGAGTTACAGTGCAGACAGACGGCTGCATTTATTATTATTAGTGTGTTTGATGAACCCATACAAACATAAAACTTTAGGTACAACAATTAACTTGATTAATTTATTTTTCCTGGAAAACATTTGGTTTGTTATCTTCATCAAGCTGATGTAGATAAAAGGGACTGAGTAAAACAGCAGTAGGTGTCTGTTAAGTTAATTATCAATTGGTTTTAGAAAATACTACAAATGGCGCAGTAAACGCCATCTGTAGTACGATGCTACATTTTAGAATTATTTTATTCGATTATGGTAACGTGCCTATCACGTTGCGGTTAGCTACGCCGGGATTCGTTTCAGCAAGTCGATATCCATATATTTAAATGGACCTTGTTGCATACGTAATCCTAAAATGTAGCATCGTACTACAGATGGCGTTTACCGCGCCATTTGTAGTATTTTCTAAAACGCGCTGTTAAGACAGCAGGTAAAAGTAGGTCTGTGTTCTGTCGGAGCTGTCTGCAACGCGCAGATGAGATCCAAAAAGATCGAAATCGCGATCCGCGTCTGGCAGTTTCGACAGAATACAGACCACTTCGAATTATTTTATTCGATTAAGCTAACGTGCCTATCACGTTGAGGTTGGCTACGCCGGGATTCGTTTTCAGCAAGTAGATATCCACACAAGTGGACCTTGTTGGAGCATACGTAATCCTAAAATGTAGCATCGTGCTACAGATGGCGTTTACTGCGCCATTTGTAGTATTTTCTAAAACGCACTGTTAAGACAGCAGGTAAAAGTTGGTCTGTGTTCTGTCGGAGCTGTCTGCAACGCGCAGATGAGATCCAAAAAGATCGAAATCGCGATCCGCGTCTGGCAGTTTCGACAGAATACAGACCACTTCGAATTATTTTAATTAATTGGTTTCTACGTCGTAATATAATAAGTACTACTGTCTGTCGGTGCAATCGTCCTTCAGGACTGAAATTAACAAGATGAAGTTAAATTAAGTGAAATAATATCTGATAAGAGTTTTACTGTATTCTGAATTTTAGTGTCTAACCCTATAGGGCAGAGTTGGACAAGCTAGGCTCTTTTGACTCCCAAGTGCTCCTTAGGTATAGCCAAGGATCTCCTTATTGCTCCTGCGAGTGCGAGTGAGGTAATTATTTTCTTTTCTTAAAAAGAGAAAGCAATATGGGTCATTACTGCTTACCCTCTCGTACTCATTGAAGGGTATGGAGTGACCCAAACTAACCTCAGGTAGCGGCTCCTACAAAGTTAAAGTTTGCTGGGCTCTGCTATAAGGTTTGACCGGTAGAAAATATAAAAGTAGATTTTTACATAAAAAATGTAAACTGGGAGACCCTGAAGGATGGTTATAAATACGCTTACTTAATTGTTTTAAATTTAGAAGTAATTATTTCAAAGCTAAAAGATTTTGAGCTACAATAGAAAGCATTTTAATTAATTCAATTTAACGGGATATTTTTAAAGTACTCGCTGCTTCCTTCATGCGATTTTTCCCTAAGCATTGGCGTAATTATTGTTGTGGTTATTTTGCCGTTTTATTAAGCAGTTATTTTTAAAAATTATGAAAAGCAAATTCACAATTTTAACGATAATAGGTAATCATCAACATAAGATCGTCAGTCCTAAGACTGGTTGGACATGTACCTCCACTCCTTCCTATCCTGAGCTAATCTTCGCATTTCCCTAAAACTAGAACAACCCATATCCTTAACTATCTGCGAACAGTAATCTAATCTAGGTCTACCTCTACCCCTACTAACTTCCATTTCTGTCTCTAATATGTCTCTGACTAGAACTTCATGCCTGAGAAGGTGTCCTACCGACCTATCTCACCTATTTTATTATCGACTTCCATAGAGTCCTCTGTTCTCCTATTTTTTCTAATACCTCTTCATTTCCAACCTTGTCTATCCACGGTATCCTCATCATTCGCTTGTAACATCACATTTCGAACGCTTCTAACGTTTTCTTTTCCAGCGCGCTCACTGTCCATGCTTCGCACCCGTGCAGCGCCGTGTGCCAAACATACACCTTTAACAACCTTTTCCGAATTTCTACATTAACCGTTCGCGAGTATAGAAATGACTTCTTTTTGTTGAAGGCGACTCGATCCTGCGCTATCCTCTGCTTTATATCCCTACTACTCCTTGCGTCCTGACTTATTTGATTTCCTAGATACCTAAAATCGGTCACTTCTTCTAATTTTTCGTCTCCTATCTTACATACTACTATTTTTATTTTATTTTTATTTATTTTCATACAGTACTGTTTCGTCAATAACGCTTCCATTTTATTTAAACTTATCTCTAACTCCTCCTTTCTAATACATACCTTTCAATTTAGGCGATGGTTACGTTTAGTTATTACCAGTAAATATACTACCTACATATTTGGAATGCAAATATTGGGTTTCCGAAATCAATCAGGAGTAAATGTAATGCGCTCAACGGTATATTAAATGTCTTGTGCATCGGATTTTATCTCACTCTCTGCGCTCATGTGATATTGACATGTCGTTAAATCAGAAATCGGAGCTGTTGTACGTATGTACCGTGAATAGTAAAGATCCTGTAATGAATCCTTGAGGCACTCCACGATGCAGGCACTTACGTCGGCACAAACTGGAATTTACATATATTACATACCTAACTGATTTAGCAACGTCTCGTATGTCAGTCTAACAACAATTAAAACAAAGGTGTTACATAGTAGTAAACTCGATACGACTACATCGATAAAACTATTATTTATCATAATTTGCGTCCACAATGAGGGCGGGTCTTACGGATGACGTGTTTCTACGTCAAGGATGTCTGTTGTGGCTTGTGGCTAGGGTTGCCACCCGTACTTTATTATAAAGTATTGTACTCTATTTCGACTATGCGTACGTTATACTTTACAAGACACATAAAGTACGCAAAAATACTTTATTTAAGGCCTTAAGTAAACATCGTAATTTTGTAAGCGATTATTTGAAATTCAGAGTATTTTTACATCAATAATATTGCACAGAAAAATGGCAAGCCATATTTACGGAACAATCTGATTTCCCAAATCTGTTCAAAGTAGTGTCACTTTTGCTGTCCGTTCCGGCCACTTCAGCATTTACAGAAAGAGTATTCTTTGTTATGAACGCAAAGTGATGGGACGACAGGAATAAAGCTTCATTAAAACTAGTTAAAAATGAACTTTTAGTTTACTTAAATCTTTGTTTGCCATGTTTAGAGGCTATTAATGTATTTAAGAGCGACAGCAATTTGTTACTGGCTGCTAGGTGTAACAAAAAATATGTTTATAAACAAAAAATGAAATACTTTATTTTTATGCCGAGTACTTTTTTTTTTAACCTTCTAGTCAAGAAACTCTACTTGTGGCTGAGAGAGACTGTCAGAAAAACTGTTTAGCGTCTCTGAACGAGAGGCTCGAGTCGCTCATAGACAGATCCTCATTTCATATCCAGTCTCTGAACGAGAGAGTCGAATCTCTCAATAAGTTTTTAAATAAATTTTCTAAGTTCAACATATTTCAGAGATCCCAGTCTTTCTACAGGAGACCCGAGTCTCTTAATTTTTCAGTTTTTTTTCATTCAGTCTCTCTGTGAGGGACTCGAATTTCTGAATTAACAATTTTATCATTCGAGTCTCTCATACAGAGACTGTGAGAGATCCATAAAAACACCTAGGCAATAACTGAGAGATTGTGAAATACTGTGAGAGACTGGAGAGAGACTCATCCACGTAACGCTGCCATTTAGAGCGCGTCTTTGCGAACTCTATGAGTAGTCTACTATCCATGAGTAAGTCATGACTAACTCCTTAATCATGTATTTTTATAATTTTACCCCAATTAGTTTCCATCTCTCGTTTTTTGTCCTTTTTTCTTTGGAAGAGCGGAAATTGCGGTCGGGGTTGGCGCAGCGGCCCGGCGATAATTTCAATTCTGGCGCTAATCAAGGCGGCAGCGCGCGGACGGTGGCGTCGCGGCGCCGGCGGCTCTCATTAAATTTGAAGGAGCAGTCGTCGGTCGGTAGACCGCGGCATTTTAAAAGTGCAACCTCGGCATAATGGTCCCGAATAATGGGCCCCAAGGTGGGCATATCGTACCTCTCCACTCAATCTATTTTATGGTCGTACCGAATTAAAGCGGGCACTGGATGATTAACGGGGCGGCGAGGCGCATCGCGTCTGCCACGACGCGCTCCCTCTGCCTGCACCGTCCGTCCCAGTTCGGTCCATTCCATTATGCCAAGGTTAGTTATCTATCGAATGAACGAACAAGCGAACGAAATGAGAATAGAGACTTCGTACCGAGTCATAAATGCCGAAAAATGAACGAATTCCGTCGAGACCATTCTGGGAAAATCGAGAAAGAAAACTGACGAGAAAGAGATAGAAACAGGGAAACGGATGGAGAGCACGCGAAGCGTTGAGATCATGGAAATAATTTTCTTAACTGGAATAACACAGAAATGGGAACGTTTACTTTGTCATTCGTTCATCTTTTAGAACACAGTTCCATGAGACTTACCGAGCTCACAATTAAATTAATTTGAAAGTTTTGAAACTAATTTGGTCCTGTGCGTTATGCCTTTTTTTATTCTCATATGCCATTAAAACGGGAGAAGTAAATAGACTGCTTTTCTATTCAACAATGTAACAGAAGTTCGTCAAATTTTGTAATAGAAGTATGACGTTATTTGTTAATGGACAATTATCCAAACGGTTTAGAAAAAAAACGCAACGCAATGTAAAACGATGCAACGTAACGCAACGCAAAGCAACTTGATGTAACGCAACGTAAAGTAATGCAAAGCAACACAATGTAAGGCAACGTAAGGCAACACAACGTAAGACAACGCAACGCAATGCAAGACAACGCAATATAAGACAACACAACTCAATGTAAGCTAACGCATTGCAACACAATGTAAGACAACGCAACGTAAGGCAACGCAACGCAATATAAGGCGACGCAACGCAATATAAGGCAACGCAATATAAGACAACACATCGCAATGTAAGCTAACGCATTGCAACACAATGTAAGGCAACGCAACGCAATATAAGACGACGCAATATAAGGCGACGCAACGCAATGTAAGGCAACGCAACGCAACGTAACGCTGTACATGTTGTATTTTGTCAAAATTTAATTATGAAGTGTTAGTTAGAGACATATAAGTAGAAAAAGGAGTTAAGAGGAGTAAACAGTGATCTAGATTAGATTACTGTTTACGAATAGTTAAGGATGTGGGACGTTGAAGTTTTAGGGAAGTTTGAAAATTAGCTTAGAATAGAAATGAGCGAAGTTGCATGTCCAACCGGTCCCAGGAGGAAGACGTTTAAACTAAGATGAATAGAACTCTTAGATTATTATATAGAAAATTTTCTTTTAGGTTTGTTTCTATATATTGACAACCAATCCGAAGTTATGACTCTAGTAACTTTATCAAGCCATTCAAGGACGTTCGTTGTGAAACCGATTTTTAACATAAATGTCTGAGATAGATCACTAATTGAATGTGCATAGATATCATGATTTCTCTAGGATTTTAATAAAAAATCCGCTTTTATTCGATGACAGTCTGCGAGACATCTACTTTTTTAGTTCCTTTATTAAATAACCTGTTGTTACTAACTATTCAATTTGTAACTTGTCGTGAGAATAGATTAGTTTTGCAGACAATTTAAGTGCATCGCAAAAATGTAATTTTGTTCGTAATTAAAGCGGCATCTGAGTTAATTCAATTATTATTTCTAAATGTACTTACACAGCACGTGGAGAACAATTTGTTCGGTGACGTCTTCGCCGACGCCGTTACTCGCCGTGCACTCGTATATCCCCGCCTGGTGTCTGTCGACCCGGTCTAAATTGAGCGTGGGCGAGACTAGGGTCTGTTCTCCCCCGGGAAGCAAATTGTTACGTCGGGACCATATTATCTTGGGGACGGGGTTGCCGGATGCCTTGCACTCCAAGCGCACTGTTGTGCCCTTCTTCACCTCCACGCGACCGTTCGAAGTGACAAAATGTATCCTCGGCGGCACTGAAAAGAAACCAATGAAAATAATTCACGAAAAGCATAAGTTTCGATCCTTTAATAAATCGTCTTTTTAGTTTTCTTTTACTGCTATTAATACACTTTAATTGACAAATATTAATGTGATTTCAAATTTTCGGTACAGGCCTGACGCTGGAAGCTGGCGGAAATTTTAAAATATTTAAAAGCAGGGATCAGTGAGAAAGTAATAGACATACAAATAAAAGAACTAATTGTTGATGTTGGTGACAGTGATAGAGATTCCCATGATGACGGTGAATGTGAAAACTAACTATAAAACAAAAGCAAAAGGTTAATTTTTTCTTTTTCGTAAGTTATGTTTCTATTGGGTTGTTCGGAAAGTCATTTCATTTTTTTCCGACAGAGGATTTAATTGTATTCTTTTGCACCCAACTTCACATTTAAGCCGTATAATTTTTATATGCTTTGAGAGCTCATATAGCAAGGCTTGTGTGTGAAAAATTCCAATTAATTCTACGCAGTAGTTTTTAGTTGGTGCACTTTTAAATATGGAGAGCGATAAGCAGCATTTTCGACATATCTTACTGTTTTACTACAGAAAGGNTTTATGGAAACGAAAAAGAAATTGGTGAAGCTATCAAGGCAAAAATTGATGAGAAAATTGTCAAAAGGGAAGACCTGTTCATTGTCAGCAAGTTGTGGTGTACTTTCCATAAACCGGAAGCTGTCGAACCGGCACTCAAACAGTCATTAACCGCTTTGGGATTAGATTATTTGGATCTGTATTTGATGCATGCTCCGTTTGACTTTAAAGTATGAAGAGATACACACAGTCATTTAATACATCGGGTTAAGCACATACAATTTTTGAATAATTATTATTGTTGCTCCATTTTTGCGGAATTAGCTACCATTGTCACTCAAGTTACACCATACACATATAGAACTGGACCAATCCAGTGTCCAGAAAATGTCTTTGCTTGAAATAAAGGACAGTGTACTATTCGTTAAGGAAGGATCGTGTGTACAGGTGATTCAGTCCAGTTCTGTAAGTCTATGGGTTACACTCATGGTGATGCATTAAAAATGGGGGTTTTGTAATGAATTATGAGATAAAATTATTTGAAAAATTATGAAACTTGAACGAGTTCTATTCTGATGGTTAACAGAGCAATAAAAATAAAGATCACGAATGCCATTTTTCAAAGACTAGATTATAATATATGTACACTTAAAAAAAATAAACAACAGTATAAACCTGTAGAAGAGAATATGAAAAGATTGACGTTTAAACAATTAACGTATTGCAGCCAGGGGATGAAAAATTCCCAAGAGACGAAAATAATCAGGTCATTCCAGAAGGTGTCGATTATGTGGATACGTGGAAAGCAATGGAGCAAGTTTACAAGAAAGGGCTCGTCAAATCAATTGGAGTTTCCAATTTTAATAAGAGGCAGATTGAAAGGCTTCTTGAGTTAACAACAGTTGTACCAGTTACTAATCAAGTAGGTGTTTAAAAGCAGCTGACTGCTATGTTTGCAAATTCTATCACTGTTTGTTCCTAACAAGCAATATAGGTAAAGGTCTAGATGATGGCCCCCACCGCCGTTACATTATTTCCTAGTACGCTACTGTCCTATCTGTATTAATACTATAATTTACGCCTACTGAAAGCTTATTTGTGTATCGGTTCCAAGTGACTTACCCAATTAGGTCATAAATGGGCAAGTACCTGCGCGACCGCTCGCCAGCTTCCTTCGTGCGACCTGTACCAAATTATCGTTTATATGTAATTCTTATAGAATCCTGATCTAATTTGAAGGCAAAACAAAAGATATTTAAAACACTTACAGCGCTTCTACTTTTATTTGCTTATAATAATACATTTTTTTTAATCATTTGAATTTCGCTGCCAGAACGATAAAAGCTGCCAACTATGTAACTGAAAGATTTGCTAGCAATTGCTACTAAAATGAATTTGTTGGAAAAGCATGGTTTGAAAACTCCATTTCGAAAGTGGAAAAGATAGATTGCAGTTAGGTAAGTTTGAAACTTGAGCAGAATAGACCAGGTGCTAATAAATGCTATTGATACGAAAGTTTATAATGGGCTGCGATGTAGTTCTCGGTCATTACCGTAAATCACTTTTGATTTATGAGAATTGCTTCTAAAGCCTTGAGAACGCTTTAAAATTATATAAATTTTGTGAAAGCGCTAAATACAATCTAAAATGTACATAACTGTAGTCAACTCGTTAACTCGCACAATAGATGTAGATAGATATAAATGTAAGTGTTTAGATCCGTCAATTGTTTTCCAATTGTTTACTTCTACCTCGAATACGTCATGTCAAAAATTGAGAGCGCATCTTGCGTCGACGCCAGATTTTTATGATCGGTGAGAACAATAATACAAAGAAAATGAGCGATTTGATTCAAAATAATTTGCGAACAATCCATCAAAACATCGGTCCATCAAGTCATCATCATAAGGTCGTCAATCCTAAGGCTCGTTGTCACGCACTTCCGTTTCTTCCTATCCTGAGCTAATCTTCGCATTTCCCTAATATTAGAACATCCCACATCCTCCACTATTTGGCCCATCATCATCATTATAAGGTCGTCAGTTGTAAGATTGGTTGAACACGCATCTTCACTTCCTCTTATCCTGAGCTAATCTTCGCATTTCCCTAATATTAGAACATCCCACATCCTCCACTATTTGGCCCATCATCATCATTATAAGGTCGTCAGTTGTAAGATTGGTTGAACACGCATCTTCACTTCCTCTTATCCTGAGCTAATCTTCGCATTTTCCTAAAACTAGAACATCCCACATCCTTCACTATTTGTCCCACTCGTGAAATATTGCATCTTCCCCTATTGCACTTGATGATATCCTTCGGGGTAGTTCCGAATGAGAGACTATTTATCATCCAGAGTGCCTTATTCTAGAGGACGCCATCATTTGAGTTTCGGTTTGTTGTACTCGGGATAACATCATATGATGGTTTTCCGTTACCAACCACCTCGCAGTGTTCAGGATCAGAGTGCCATATCGATCCTCGTGATCTCTGTCACCCTGAGTACTGAAACAGCTGCTTCCCTTTTTTCAAGGATTTCTCTTACTCTGCTCTTTCGTTAAGCGTTCCTCAATTATGGTTGAACCTATGGTCCTACTCCCTACAACATCAAAACGAGCAAGTTGATCCTCCCACTCTAGATTGTCAAGGTCTAAGTCACCTCGGATTAAGTTAATCAACCTGGAGAACGAGCAAATCAAGTTATCGTACAATTACGCCAATCTTAGGATTTGACATATTTCGACTTCCACTTGCTCCCCCCCCCTTTCCTCAAGGGTTCGCGAAGAGAGTTGACGCTACTTAGATTCTAAAAAGACTACCGAGAACTATCTGAACTATAGGGTTGTTCGGAAAGTCATTTCGTTTTTTTTTGTGGAAATGAAAGACAGTTTTCGTATAATAAACAAATACTTTACTAAATTATATATTGACCGTTCTGGTCCAACACCTTTTGCCATCTTTCTGGTAGTAGCATAATTCCACGCTCATAAAATTTTTGGTCTTTGCTGGCAAAAAACTGATCGAGGAGGTTTTTGACCTCTTCATTTGAGGTGAAGGTTTTACCGTCTAAAAAATTTTGGAGTGACCGGAACAAATAATAATCCGATGGTGCCAGGTCTGGAGAATATGGTGGGTGTACCATTGTATCCCATTCAAGCTGTAAAAGCTTTTGGCGAATGACCAAACTTGTGTGAGGTCTTGCGTTGTCTTGGTGAAACACTACACCTTTCCTGTTGATTAGTTCTGACCTTTTCTGTTGAAGTGCATCATTCAGTTTGTCCAGCTGATAACAGTAGACTTCCGAATTAATCGTTGTGTTATCCGGTAAAAGCTCAAAAAAAAAACGATTCCTTTAAAATCCCACCAAACAGACAGCATCACCTTTTTTTGGTGAATATCGGCTTTGGAAATGGTTTGAGTCGGTTCATCTTTTTTGCTCCATGACCTCTTGCGTTTGACGTTGTATACAACCCATTTATCGTCCCCAGTGATGATGCGCTTCAAAAACGGATCATTTTCGTGACGTTTGAGAAGCGAATCGCAGACGTCAATGCGGCGACACAGATTTCTCTCTGTGAGAACATGGGGAACTCATACATCGAGCTTCGAGGATAATCCCAGGCCTTTCAAGTGGTCATAAACTGTTGAATTTGATAAATATAACCTCAATCCGATCTCACGTGTTGTTATTCGCCGGTTCACATCAACTAATGCCTTTATCGCGTCTTTATCAGCTTCAACCGGCCTTCCCGAACGTGGTGCATCTTCGACATCAAAATTGCCGGATCGAAATTTAGCGAACCAGTTCTGGCACTGGCGTACTGTCAACACACCTTCTCCATACACATCAGTCAATTTCTTTCTGGCTTGAACAGCATTTTTACCCTTTCTGTAGTAAAACAGTAAGATATGTCGAAAATGCTGCTTATCGCTCTCCATATTTAAAAGTGCACCAACTAAAAACTACTGCGTAGAATTAATTGGAATTTTTCACACACAAGCCTTGCTATATGAGCTCTCAAAGCATATAAAAATTATACGGCTTAAATGTGAAGTTGGGTGCAAAAGAATACAATTACATCCTCTGTCGGGAAAAAACGAAATGACTTTTCGAACAACCCGATACATCAAACAGTGTAGCGAACGCAATCGACGGAAAACGACATTAGTAGGTATTCAAATTTCTTATTTCAATAGCTGTTTGTTTCCATGCTACTCAATAGCCGGTTAAATAACCTGTTTATTACAGTAGCAACACATGATTTGCTTTTTAGTACGCAAAAACACTAAGAATAAAACGAAATTAAAGCGTAATTTCTCCCGAACTTTGTAGATTGTATTTTGCCGAGGAGAAAGCACTTTCGGCTCTCATTTAAACTTAATTAGTTACATTCCTTCATGCTTAGTATTTGGAAGTAGGAATTTTATTTCTGTTTTTATT